CAGTACCTCAAGGACTTTGCCACAAAGTACAATTTGCATCACTATGTGCGCACCCAGACTAAGGTCACATCGGCCGTGTGGAACGATGCCGAGGGTACATGGGGCATTGAACTCGAAGACCTCGCAAACCAGCAAAGCCTGACCGACACGGTCGACATACTCATCAATGCCAGTGGTCCATTGAACCGATGGAAGTGGCCAAGTATCCCTGGTTTGAACGAGTTCAAGGGACACCTGATCCATAGCGCCAATTGGGACGATGGCTATGATGTTTCGGGGAAACGAATTGCCTTGATTGGAAACGGGTAAGCTACTAACTATCATCTTCCTCTGCTTGCTCTTCGGCTAAAGATACACTCCCCAAACAGCTCCAGCGGCCAGCAACTCCTCACAGCTCTCCAACCACAAGCCAGCCAACTCCTCCACTTCATCCGTCAACCCAACTGGATCGTTGGCCCCTTCGGCGGAGCACAGCAAACATACACCCCGGACCAGATCACAGAATGGACTAACGACCCATCCCATCTCCTCACAAAGCGCAAACAAATTGAGACAGTGATCAACAGCACATTTTCTACTTTCCTTCGCGATAGCCCACTCCATCAAGGCATGCGCCAGTACCTAACTCAAACAATGGAAGCAACCTTAAATCAGCACAACCTTCCCACCTCAGAACTCCTCCCCACCTTCGCCCCAGGCTGCCGTCGACCAACTCCCGGAGTCGGCTACCTCTCAGCCCTCAGCCAGCCCAACACCACCCTCATCGTCGGAGATATCACCCGCATCTGCGCCGACGGCCTCGTCGACAGCACCGGAACACACCACGCCGTGGACGCCATCGTCTGCGCCACCGGCTTCGACACCACCTGCATCCCGTCCTTTCCCTTAATTGGCAAATCAAACCAATCTCTCGCGGACCTCTGGGCCGACGACGTCCTAGACTCCTACTTCGCAACCACTGTCCCGCACATGCCCAATTACGCCATGTTCGCGGGTCCCTTCTTCCCCTCCATCAGCGGGAGTTACCTCCGCACATCTGAGATTCAGGCCGAATACATCTGCCAGTTAATCGACCGCTACCAGACGGAGAATATTCATGCGTTCAGTCCGTCGCGCGCCGCTAGTCGGGCTTTCACGGCACATTGTCGTAAGTTTTTGTTGGAAAGGACCGTCTGGGCGGATGCGTGTCGCTCGCATTACAAGGCCGATGGTGATAGTGCGAGATTGTCAATGTGGCCCGGGAGTAGTTTGCATTTTGCGGATGCGTTACGTGAGTTAAGGGCTGAGGATTATGATTGGGAGTATGTCGGTGGAGATCGGTTTGCTTGGTTGGGGAATGGGCTCTCGGCTACGGGTGCTGATGAAACAAGTGATTTGGCGTGGTATTTGGGAGATCGGGATAGTGGACCGCTGGGGAGTAGGGGGGCCAGGCGGAGGGTTTTGACCAAGAGTGGGACTTTTGGGGTTGGAGAGCGGGAGAAGTTGTTGCAGGGGAGACCGGCTGATTGATTTTGCCATTTCACTACTGTATTAAATATAATACATGATAAAAGAGGATCATGATGGCGCGACTGTTGTGTTGCTGTGATAATTATTTTGAAGTATATAAGTTACTACCACCCCATGAATACCATCGACTAGTAGCATTTTCTTCTTTTTCGTCACCTTAGAAGTCAAAGTTCATTTCAAGACTACTTGCTCATAGGCATCGAATTAACTAAATTGCTGGTCAATCGTAATACAGAAATACGGAGAATTGTCTCCGCGACAAGTGCAACAAATCTACAAAGCTAGAACTCACCCCAAGTCAAGTGGAACGTTCTATACAACTCATACAGCATAGACCAAGCAACCTTGAACACGATTTTGATTTAACAAAACACCCCGAAACTAGAAGATATATATACGCCCAAAAAACATCTAGAAATCAGTCTGATCCACCAGCCCCTCAAATTCATTACAAATAGCCAACCTCTCCTCGCACGCCTTGCGCATCGCAGCAATAGCATCCTTGCCAATGGGCAACCGCAAAGGCAACTGCTTCCCCTCAAACTTGCCCGTTCCCTTAACCGCCTCGACCACCACCTTCGCCGCTTTCTCCGGATCACCCTGCTGGTTGTGGTTGGCAGCCGCACACCCAGCAACCACCAGACCCCGGAGCTCTTCATACTCCGGCAGGGGACGAGGCGCCCGGCTGTGAAAGTTTCCAGGGTTCATGACCTCTGTGCGGTAGTAACCATAGGTGAGTAGTGAAGTGCGAATGCCGAATGCCGCCAGCTCCAGAGCCAGGTTGGGCACCACCACCTCCAGGAGACCCTTGCCGCCTGTGTAGCATGATGCACCAGGCGCACCGTAGTAGACTCCAACGCTGCTAGTGAACAGCACGGTTCCGGATTTTTGGGCGCGCATAAGGGGCAGGAAGGCGCGGGATACGTTGAGGGGACCGAAGGCGTTGGTGCGGAGGGCGTCAATCAGGAAAGGCTCGCTGGGAATTCATTAGTGGGGATTCAAGACAGTATACGACGAGTGGGGGGGAGAGGGGTAAGCTAACGTAATTTCTTCGACAATACCAGCGTCAATGTATCCAGCGTTGTTCACTAGGACATCAACTTTGCCGTAGATCTCCCAGATCTCGCGTGCCTTGGCATCCAGTTCTTCTTGGGGCCGGCTCACGTCGAGCTCGACCACTGCGGCTCCGGCTTCTTTGAGGGCCGAAAGACGGTCGGCACCGCTGACATTGTTGCGGGCGCGAGCAGTGGCAATGACTTTGTCGCCCTGGTTACTCGTTGGTCAGTAACAGTAATTGGTACAAGTGTAAGGAAAAGGTTGGTGGGGTGGGTGCTCACCTGGGCGAGAATGGCGCGGACTAGGGCTTCGCCAATGCCGGAGGAGCAGCCGGTGACGACCCAGGTAAGAGGTTGGCTGGACATTGTTCAAGTATAGTATTTGTGTGATATCTGGTATATAGGTAAGAGGGAAGAGGGTGTAATTGAGGACAGAGAGAGCAGCAGGAACGGATTCAAGGAGGGGGAGAAGAGCAAAGATAATAAGTGGGGGAGAAATGTCAGTGTCCGCTTCTTCCGTTGTTTGTGTTTTGGACCCCACGCAGCAAAGCCTCGCTCTCTCGCACTAAGCATTGACTAGTAACGTTTAGTGTGACACTTGTATCGCCAGTCACCAGTGATCTGCAGGGGGCCATAAAATCTTGTCTCAAGGATATTTAGTGCTTACTGTTTGTCAGCCTACAAGGCTACAAAGTTGCCTGAGATCCATTTTGCCTGGTAGTGTAACAGTAGATACTAGATACAACACCTTCCTAGTTATTTATCGCCCCCGCCTGCTCCATCAATTCAAGTCTTACCCCTCAATCATTCCACAATCACCCAGTTCTCTTCTGCCATATCATAACTTGATCGAACACCGCCACCTGCCCCCAAACCACTATCCAAACTCTCAATTCCCTTGGTTTTCGAGATGTCCTGGACACAAGTCTCCCCGAACCGATACGAGCGTCCCTTCGACTCCATCGAGTCTTTCTACCGCATTGTTGCTGCCGCCGGTGCTCCGCTCAACAAAGAACACTACCTAATTACTTGCACTCTCCAGCTGCAACCACCTCTGCCTCCCACCAGTGCAATTGAGCAAGCCTGGAAAGCTCTCCGCCATGTCTACCCTCAATTGGCCGCTGAACCCGAGGCAGACGGCAACGGAAGCGAGCGCTTCGTGTATGAAGCCATCACCTCTACTACCCAACTCGACGCGTGGGCCCAAGAGACCTTCCACATCGACACCAATCGAACTTCAAATGACCTCTACGAGCAGCTACCTCCCTCACCACGCGTCCATCTCTACTACCTCCCCAATACCTCCGAGGTAGTCTTCCGCACCCCCCATTGGCGCATCGACGGCATCGGTCTGCACCTCATGCAGTCCGCCTTCCTGCAACTCCTCGCAGATGGCACCATTCATCCCATCGACGGGACTGAACCCTCCCGTCTCTGTCCCGCTGTGGACCAAGCCATCGCAGACTCAAATCTCCTCAACACAACTTGCCCCCTAGACGAACCCGCCGCTACAGCAGCCTCAAACCGCGAACTCCAGCCCTGCCTCACCCAGACCGACAATGGAAACCTCATGCTTCCCACTCTCCCCAACATCCTCCCAACCAACCCCAGACGCATCCTCCGCCACATAGACGGCGCAACCACCACCCGTCTCCTGGAAGCCTGTTCCGCCCACAATATCACTATCACAGCCGCCACGCACGCCGCTCTCGCCCTAACCGGCCTGCACTTTGCCCTCCACCCAGAAAACAAACCCGACTACGTCGGCTTCAACCCCCTCGACCTGCGTCGCTATCTCCCCGAGCCGTGGAACGGCCCTGCAGCCGCCGTCTCGCTCTATCATACAGGTCTTCCGTTCCGCATGCCGCTGTACCCAACGCAGGTGGAGAAGCATGAAGAATTCCTCCGCCTCGCGCGGGAATTCACCTCCCTCTACCGGAGAAATCTGGCCAAGGAGGCCCCGCAGAATATCTTCGATTTCCTGCCTACCTATGTGGGACGAGTTATGCAGGTCTTAGGCGCTGCGCCGCCTGATCCGTTGCTTGCGCCGGCGCATCCCGAGCTGAGTTCCATGGGACGGGTGAACGAGTTGCTCAAGGTGGAGGTGGAGGGCAAGGAGAGGAAGGTCAAGGTGGAGGAGTGGTGGGTGGCTATCGAGGTTATCAATCGGTTGTTGTTGACGCAGGTGTGGACGTTTAACGGGGAATTAGTGCTATCCGTGCATTGGAATGAGGCGTTTTATGAGAGAAGTTTTGTTGAGGGGGTGTTTGAAAGGTGGATGGAGGTGTTGGCTGAGGGGATGTTGGAGTAGATTCATTCGGAGGCGCAATTTAGTGATAGATTGCGGGTGATCGAAATCTACTAGAATATAACCTACTATAATATGTGACAAACGGAGAATTGTGTATACTATCATTAATATAAGGTGGCATGGAACTATATTCTCCTGCTGAACTGTACAACTGGTCCCTCATGCGAACTGGTAAACACGTCGCGTGTCTGGAACTCATCTCTCCGGTTCCTTCCCCATGCTGCATCCTCATCCTTCTTGTTCTCATCCTCCTTGACAACAGAATACAACCGCATATCAAACAACCACAACAACCTGGCGAGAATAATCCCCATCTCCTGATACGCAAGATACTTACCCACGCAACTTGTCCGTCCCGCCCCGAACGGCGCATACGCCGTGACACCTCCATCCTCAGCATCCACCCCCAGCCAGCGTTCGGGCTTGTACGCATGAGGATCAACCCAGTACCGACCATCCCTCTGCAGGGCATACATCGGCACCCCGACATCCGTCCCCTCCGGCACAAAGTACTTTCGATCAGCACCACCACCGCCATTATCATCCATTACCCCAACCACCAACCCCCCCTCCAGCACCTGGCGCGGCAGAACCGAGCTAACAGGGGGGTTCAGCCTCAGCGCCTCATTTACACAAGCATACAGAAACCGACACCCCGCCAGAGCAGGTCCAATCCGGATATCTTCGACATCCTCAAAAGCAACACTAACCTCGCTCTGCGCGCGGATATACGCCTCCCTATTATGCAGCAGATAGAACAAAGTAGCAGTGATAGTCGTCGCCGTAGTATCGGTACCGGCAATGATCAAAAAGCCCGCTTCAGCAATCAAATCGCGCGGAGTATAGCCCTGACCCGATTGTGGGTCGCGGGCGTCGAGGAGCGAGGCGAAGAGGTCCCGGTGCGGCAAGGTATCGGGGGGCTGAGCGGCGCGCCAAGAGGACTGTTCTTCGGAAAGGTGGAAGAACTGTTGCACGCCGCGCGTGAGAGTGGGGAAGCAGAGACGGTCAAGGTGAAGCTTGAGGAGGGTGGGCATGTGGCCTGCTAGGTTTATGCCACGGGTGCCTTGGGCCATTAGGGATAGGATGTGGCGGTTACGTGGGCTGGATTGCATGTTCCAGTGGCGGGAGAAGGTCACGTCACCCATGATGTCGCTGAGGAGGCATTTGATTGTTGTGGATAGGTCGTGGGGACGGCCCCAGGATGAGGAGGGATCCTTCTCGGTAGTCGGATCCTTCTTGTTCTTCAATAGGTAGGGATCCGCTGGGATCGTCAGGGCAGTGCACAGGGCGCGCACGTTCTGCAGGATCAACTCTTCAAGATCCTGCACGGCACGTGGGTTCAGTGCTCGGCTGGTGACGCGCCGCTTGAAGGCATGGGCTTTTCGATCGATAGTGGTTAGGCTGGCGGGGACGGTGAAGAAGTGGGTAAAGGCGCTGTAGACGGCTGACTTTTGCGTGTTGGCTTGGCTGCCGTAGATGTCGGCCAGGGCGGTTGCCGAGCGAAATGACACGCGATTGGGGCCATATCGCACGGCTGATCCGTACTTCTCGTGCAGTCGGTAGAAGTCTAGGTGTCGATCGCCCGTGAAGCAGTAGTAGATGTTGTACCAGTCTGTGGCGGCGGCTAGCCAGGGTCCTGGGTAGCTGGCCAGTGGATGCAAGGTCAAGCGGTAGATAATCACGGCAAAGAGAGTTTCAAGGATAAGATCCACAAGGGGCCATGTGCGAAGGTGGTAACCGAGTGTCAACGCAAGCAGCGTCAATAGCGCTGCGGCTTTGGTGTTGGCAATGGGCATGACTGAGGGCGTGATGACGATACTGTGGGCGACAGTGGATGGACTGTGTTGAGAGGGGCAAGCAGGCTTCTTTACATACTCTCGCCCCCAGGTTGATCAAGCCGATCTTCAGTATGAAGGGACATTTCCTCAGTCAAATATATCCTATACTTGGTGATGATCTGACAGATGCAGCCTCAAATGCAGCAATTTGTAGGCTAATAACCAATACCCGGTGTGACAGTACCTGACATACAGTAATACAGTGACCCACCGGTAATGAGGTGTATTGCATCGGCCCCATTCTGCACAAATTGCTTGGTCAGTTGCTTAGCGTTAACTATAACATTATTTACTATCAGATAGCGTCTGGCCTGATGTTCAAACTGCGGTCATCATTTAGCCCCATGGGGGCTGTTTCTTCATGGGGGCTGTTGCAGGAACTCCGCCTCGCAGGATCCTCGTATTCCAGGTCCATACTCCTCCGCCTTTTCTTCAGGCCTGATCCTGCCATCCACTCCCCCATTCCTTCTGTTGTGCACATTCTCCTTGATTGTTCTCGGTGGCCCTTGACGACTACACTACTGAACTCTGCCAAAATGTCAAGTCTAACAGCAGCTCAAATCGAGGCAATGGAAGCCAATCCGGGTGCGACCCGTGCACCGGGAATCATTGCCTGCGCATCAATCACAATGGCCGCCAGCGCTGCAGGCGTCATCTTGCGAGTGATAGCCCGATCTATCACGTCGATGCGATTAGGTCTCGACGACTACTTTATCATAGTAGCATTGGTAAGGTTCATTAGGCTTGACAACACAGTGAGTTCGGAGAACTCAAGCTCACCTTTTCTGGCTGGTAGTTCTTCAACGTTGCATTCAGCGTCTCAATCTACATAACCATCCACTTTGGCATGGGAAAGCACATTGCCTATGTAACCGATGCGAAGGGTTTAACATTGGTGAGCTAAACTGAATCCTATCACCCACCCCACCATCACACAACGCTAATATACAGACACACAGTCTATAACCATCGCCGAGTGCTTCTACAGTCTCGCCATCTGCTTCACCAAGCTCTCCATCCTAACATTCTACGGTCGGATCTTCCCACAGCGATGGTTCCGCCTCATGACCTGGTTCATGGCCTTCGTCGTGGTTGCGTACAATTTCAGCAGCGTGCTCGCCACCTGGCTACAATGTGTCCCTCTCTCTCACGCCTGGGATCCTTCCGTGCCCGCCACCTGCATTGATTACTACGCTGTCGTGGTATTCAGCGGCGTGACAAACGTCGTCACTGACTTTATCATCCTGAGCATGCCCCTCTCTGTTATCCATCAGCTACACATGAGTAGTCGCAAGAAACGCATGCTGGCGTCTGTCTTTGCTCTTGGATTTGGGTCCGTTCTTTCCCATCCTGCCAAAAAGTATGACACTGATTTTATATTGCACCAGAACCTGCATCGCCTCCATTCTCCGCTGCATCGAAGCTCAATCCCTCAACTCCACCGACTCCAGCTGGGACCTGCAAGGCGCCATCGACTGCACCTCCGTCGAGATATGCGTCGCCATGATAACGGCCTGCATGCCCTCCATGCGCCCGCTGGTCTCGAAGATATTCAAGTCGACCACTACCCAGGCAAACTCGAAGAAGGACCCCACGGCTGGGACTTTTAAAATGTCGACGCAGAAGGGGACGCGCAGTCGGGCGGACCGCGGTTGGTCGGCGATTGATCATGAGGAGACACAGCGGCTGCCGGAGGAAAGGTCCGCCGATGAACTTTCGTTGGGGAGTTTGAAGCAGGCGTACCGTGCCGATGTAAGGCAGGCGGTGTGATGGCTTTCAGTTCCTCATTATTTTCCTTTTGTTTTTTTGTTGTATTATTAGCGTCTCGGAAACGAGAACGTTGGACGTATATAGGATGATTGGGGCGCATCTTGTGGTGTTTTTGGTGTATCTGACAGTTTGAACGGCGTTAGGTTCAGATGTAATATATCTTGATGACTTATAAAGCTTTTTTTATATAGGTAAAGGAGAGGTCGTCAGAAAATCTTGGTTACAATCCGCAGAATTGTGTGAAAGCTGAGTCCAAACAAACAGTGGCGCTATCACGCCACTATGTCCGGCTTTTGTGCAAGAATGTGAGATATCTCGCCAAACCATGTCTCACTTCGAGCGACCTGCGTTCTGTTGGAAATATTATCTTTCAAACGTCTCCGTTGGCAGTATCTACCCAGATCTTATTCAAGCAATAAGTTAATCAACACAGAAAGCTTGTCTGTATGACTTTAATCTGACCACCAACCTCTGGTCAAAAGCGGGGCCATGCGCAGCCGATGATGCAGGAGCATAAGGGACGTTATTATTCCCTATCTTTTGGACCTCATCTGACTAGTTTCATAAATTATACCTCTTGATCTTGATAGATACGATAATTAGCATTCTTCGTCATATTCCAGGGATCCTATTCCGAGCCCTATAAAAAGCCTCACACGTGCATATATGAGGTTGGGGAATGTAAAGTAATCTTTAAAAACTCCAAAGATTTATACTGATGTTACCAAGTCAAAGTACAGCAAGTGTAATAAGGTATTCTCATTCTATCATTATCCGCCATATTAAGGCTTCAGTTTTCACTGGTCCATTCTCAATGATCAAGCACTGGGTTGCAGTACACAGTACGGCTGACTGACCTCATCGAATTTCTGACAGTTATGGGCTCATTTACTATAAAATATTATCAACCGTCTTAACTGTCTTAGAACGAATCATCTGTTGTGGAAAGTAATGTCCGAGTCCACCGGCATTGCGTGCATTGACTTCATAATAAGTGGTGGATACTGAAGATTAGGCGGAGCAGCCAATCAGCAATGTCGCAACCGGTTCCCGAAAGGGTATAGCACACAAACATACAATATGGATTGATGATCTGTCTCGTAAATGCCGAGAAGAAACTCGAAGCGGATTGCAATAGAGCGTCCTTATTGGTATGTTTCTCTTGGCGCTGTGATCACCACATCCTGCCAAGAGCATAGGCATATATAAGTAGTAACCACAATTCCTTCGGAGGATCCCAGACTAGACAGAATGGCCTTGTTCCTTGATCTTTTGAACACTGTAAAGGAGAAAGGCCCTCTCCTGGCATCTGCCGGATTCAGTGCCCATGTTTTCTACTGGTCACGCGGGGAACGCGGCGCCAAGGAGGGCCGTGCTTGGGTTTATGCCAACCTGATCGTGAATACCCTAGCCCTACTCACCACAGTCAATAGCCATGGAAGTTGGACAAGCATCTATGCATGGCTTTTAGGTATCGGTACTGTGTCCATACTAAATATCTGCTTCTATGCCTCCCTCTTCGCCTCGATCCTAACCTACCGCGCCTTCCTCCATCGTCTACATAACTTCCCAGGCCCATTCCCGCTCAAGCTCTCCAAGTTCGTAACCGGATACGAGAACCTCGAGAAAAACCGAAACTTCGAACGGGTATGGAACCTACACAGACAGTACGGGGATATTGTCCGAACAGGGCCCCAGGAACTAAGCATCCTGTCGGCTGAAGCCATCGATGTCATCTATGGACCTTCGAGCAAATGTACCCGTGGCCCGTGGTATGATCGTCTAAAGGGTTCGGGTGACTTCACGCATGACTATGCCGTGTTTCATATGCGGGATCCAGCCGTGCACTCGCAGCGGAGGAAGGCTCTTTGGGATAAAGTGTTTAGTGGAAGAGGTTGGTGATCATACCCCCCTTGGATGTGTTACATCGTGCTCACTGGAACAACAGCACTGAAATCCTACCAACCAATGGTCATCCGCACAACGGAAAAGTTCCTCGACGCTTTGGCGCACCGTGTCAACCAACCGCTTTCTGTCCCCAGTACCATGTCACTTCTCAGCTACGATATCATGGGAGTCGTTGGCTGGGGCTATTCCTTCAATAATATCGAGAAGTGGAAGTTGAACCCTAGTCTAAGCTTCGTCAAGAACATGCGGAATGGCCAGCATGTCATGGTACATACGCCGTGGCTTATCAGCTTGTTGATGAGCCTGCCCGGTGCTGGTAGTGCTATTCGAGAGTATGGAAATTGGATCCAAGATCGAATCCAGGAGAAGCGGCAGCAAGAAAGAATAAGTGAAGTGCCTGAGGAGGACATTATGACGAGGATGCTGCCGTCTATGCGCGATTTATCTAAGAAGGCGTTGTATAGTGAGGGAGAGCTGCTTGTAATTGCTGGAGGGTGAGTCACACCACCATTCATTCAACTTGTCATTGACATCTACCTAATCAACTACGAACAGAGACACCAGCTCCGTTACAATGAGTGTCATAATCTACCACTTGGCCCTCAACCCATCCATTCAACGCAAACTTCAAATTGAACTCGACTCCGCAGCAGGAAAGCGCCAAACAGAATCAAACCCCCCCACCGAATCCCCCGAAGACACCTACTACCGCTCCATATCCTCCCTCCCCTACCTAAACGCCTGCGTCAGCGAAGCCCTACGTATCCAGCCACCAGTGCACAGTGGAATCCAGCGCAAAACACCACCAGAAGGTATCCACATTCCCACTGATAAGGGAACCTCCACCTTCATCCCAGGAGATATAATAGTCAGTGTGCCGATTCTACCCGTGCAAAACGATCCCCGGTACTATCGAAACCCGGAGGAGTTCGTCCCCGAGCGCTGGACGGACGGGAAGCCAGATTGGATTATTAACAAAGCGGCATATTTCCCGTTCGTGGGTGGCGCGTATAGTTGTGTTGGGAAGGCGTTGGCGTATGTTGAGTTGAGGGTGGTCGTGGCTATGCTGTTTGAGAGGTTTGATGTGCGGTTGGCGGACGGGGAGGATGGGAGGAGGTTTAGGGAGGAGACGAGGGATACGTTTGTGGCGACTTTGGGGGAATTGAAGGTTGTATTTAGTGAGAGGAGGTGATAGGGAATATCTGTAGGCTGATTTGGATGACGGACTGTCTCATTTGCTCTTTGTATGTAGTTAGGTATGGAAGAGTGCGGGGCAATTTTGAAGACTTTGGAGATAGGATATAGTGTATTTAAGATATATCTATCTCATCTGTTCATATACGCATATTTCTATTCAATTCAATGGCGAGAAAAAGCAAATATGACGATAATGAGTACCATCAGAGGGTGAGGATGCAGCGGAAGCAATCGTCCAGGAATGTCGGTCCTTTCTGACCATTCGAAACAACACCGTGTACCTGATTCATCAATCAGCGCAAGATTATCTGAAAAAGCATTATCGAAGACTCTACAATGACCCTCCGGCTACGCTTCATTACCAAATGTATCAACGGACCCTCAATGGTATGAAACAGAACTTGAAGCAAAACATATATGGCTTGCCTCATTACGGAATCGCGACAGAAGATGTGCAAGTCCCCAATCCAGACCCTCTAGATTGTGTTCGGTATGCATGTCGCTACTGGGTCTATCATCTAATTCAAAGTGGCTTCACGTCTACAGATATGGAAGATATTCTTTCGTTTCTCAACACACACTTTCTTCACTGGCTCGAGGCAATGAGTTTGCTGGGGATATTTCCCGAGGTTGTGAGGTTTGTTGGTCAATTGAAATTCATTTCAGAAGTAAGCCAGTGGGTAGATCGAGCATGTACTTGGGCTAATACTCAATCAGACTGAGAATGTGCCCGCACTATTGGACTTTCTAATGGACGCCGAAAGGTTTATCTTGCAGAACCTGCCAATTGCGACCGCAGCGCCTCTTCAGCTCTATGTCTCCTGTCTTATATATTCGCCCGAAAGAAGTATTGTCAGGCGCATGTTCGGAAGGAAAGCCTGCAAATGGATCCTGCGAACAGCTGGCGCTGATATGGAATGGGGCGCACTGCTCCAAACACTTGAACATTCCCATCGGGTATGCTCTGTTGCATTCTCTATAGATGGACAGCTGGTGGCATCGGGCTCTTCAGATAAAACGGTCAAAGTATGGGACACGTTCACGGGGAATTTACAAAAGATACTTGATCATCCAGATTGGGTAAGAGCTGTAGCATTTTCACCAGACAACAAGCTACTAGCTTCTGGGTTAAGCGATGGTACCATCAGGCTATGGGATACAATCATATGGCGTGAAACAGGTAGACGAGCAATCTGGAGACATCGCTCATCTGATGTTCTCTCTGAATAACCAGCTATTGGGGTCTGCATCATTCGATGGCGTGGTGAAGGTGTGGGAGAAGGGGACATGGAGACTTCGGTGGGAATGGCGACCTTCGGGCCCAACATCATCGCTCGCACGCACGGCCTTTTTTCTGAATGGTCAGGTATTGGTAGCCGCCACAATACGCGCCCATGCTCCTAATATAGTAGTTCTGGTCAATAAAGAGACCGATACCATAGTGCACGAGCTCGCTCACTTGGGCAAGATCACGAATGTGGCATTTTCCCTAGACATTCGGATGTTGGCCTGTACCTCAGATGATAGGACTATCACACTGTGGGATACTGCGACGTGGAATATCAAGCACACAATTCATGACGAACATGTGCTTGATTTGACCGTCTTTTCCCCGGATAGTAATCTCATCTCTGCAGGTCCATTGCAAAACTCCGTTCAACTGTGGAGTACAAAAAGTGGAACGCTAGAACAAACCTTAAAGGGTCATGCTGACTATGCTACAACTGTTACCTTCTCGCCTAATGGCCAGTTGGTGGCATCGGGGTCACATGATAAGACAGTCAAGCTATGGAAAGTGACCCCAGGGAAGGAGGAGCCAAGCCTGGACTGTCACTCAGAGCCAATAGAAGGTGTGATACTTTCACCGGATGGTCGGTTGGTGGCAACCTACTCTTTGGATTCCACAGTCACATTATGGGCTGCAGAGAATGGGAAACTGATGCGAACCCTCAAAGGCCACCACGAGGAAGTGACAGCAGCTGCCTTCTCTCCAAGCAGCAAGCTACTCGCATCCAGTTCAACTGATTGGACAGTCAGAATATGGATACCGAGAACGGGCAACAGAAATGGAATTTCGACCATGGTAGTACAATTCTATGTCTGGTCTATTTCTTTGCAGAAAACCAAGTGCTGGCTACAGATTTCGGGCAAAACACATTTCGAATATGGAATACAGAAACAGGACACCCTGAACAGACTGTGGGCAGTACCTACGATCCTCGCATTCGAAGTATCTTTGGCACCAATCATTCAAACCAAGACATGTCTGCCAAATGCAAGATCTCTCTTGAAGACGAGTGGATTGTTATTAATGAAAAGAGAAGTATTTGGCTGCCCCCAGAATACCGAACCAACTTATTAGACAACGTATGGGTAACTCGAGAGAATGCTCTTATAATTGGGGCTCAATCCGGTCGTGTCTACTTCGTTTGGTTTGATCCAGATGCATTGACAGATGTATGATATGCTGACAGAACCCCAGGAGGACGAATATCCTCAAGTCCTGCAAAACCAGATTATCTTCACGTGTTTGTGTTTTCCTTTCTCTCTATTCTATCTTGACCTCCTGGTATTTTTCTTTTTTCCGTTTCACAGTACACATTTGATCGAAAAATGCACATCTGCAGCAGGTCCAAGCGCCGTACAATGCTCCATTCACGCTGAGCATCGTGTACAAGCCTAGACATACCGGATTAATTGAAATAAAATGTGTTGGATGAGTTGTGCTGGATGGGAACGTACCTACTTTCTTCATGTTAAGAGAAGAATACGGAGCAATGCTACAAATTTTTAGAAATTGGACATCATTGTATTTCCTTTCCCCTACCACCACCCCAACCATCTGTCGTCTACCACAAACCCACCCCAACCATCTGTCGTCTACCACAAACCCACCCCAACCCTCCAGCCTCAAACAATCGTAACATTCGTCACCGCAGTCCCCACAACAAACTCATACGAAAGCTACACACATCAGCGAACCACCATTTAACCTTCTCAATCAATTAACAGGAATCGAACTTACCCCCACCAAAAACGGCCTAACAACCCCAATCTGCGCCGGCCCCGTCACATCCGGCACCGTGACAGTGAAGTTCTCATACGGGTAAGGTGGTCCGTTGGATTGCGGATCGTAGGGGCCGCTGTATAAGAGATTTCCAATAGCCGAGTCGGGGGCGGTGCATCCTGAGGACCCGGAGCAGGATTCAATGCCAATGGCGATGCCGATTTCGGCGATGTTTTCCGGGAAACCCTATTACAACAAAGAAAGCATGAGTGAGGGGGTAAGTATGGTGTAGTCGTGGGGTAGATGGGGAAGAATGCAGAGGTGGAGAGGGCATGGACGTACCGGACGGCCGATCTGCACGGTTATTGTTTCTCCGGCTTTCAGCTCCGTGCCGGCGGCGGGGGACTCGATGTAGATGCCCTGGGCTAGGGCGGTAGCTGTGTAAAGGGCGAGAGAGAGAATGGATTTCATGGTGGATGTGCAGTTAATAATTATCGGAAGAAGAATTCAAATGTGTTGTGGATTCGAAAGAAGTTGGTTAATGATGAACTTGACATCGGTCGGGAGAATGGGTCTTTATATATTCACCAGTCGTTGGCACTACAAATAGAACAACTGCTAGTTTGGAACTAGACACGGCACCTCATGTTGTACTACTTGCTTTTTTCAGGCACCTCAGTCAGCCACTATGAATAGGGTCGCGGCATATCGTTGGTAGGGCTCCGCCACGGCTCTGAGACATCAGGCCTCCCATGCGTATTTGCGACCAATAAGAGTCGTAGTATAAAGGGCTTTGGGTACACGGCAGTATTTCCAACGTTAGGGATACGTGATGTATCTAAATAAAGATAGAAATTCTAAATAAAGATAGAAATTTGAAAGTAACAAATAAGTCAATCTAAGCGAGACTGCGTGTACTCTAGTATTCTGGATCCAAGGTACTAACCTCCTTGAAGTGGTAACAGACGGATGTACTTCCACGCAGGAGAAAAAGAACGAGGCATGTAACTTTCGAAAGACCAGTGTGACTTCTTGATTGACGCCATGAAGTATCTTACACTATTACAATGAGCTTGATTTAAAGCTTATTTTATGCTAAGTCATATGTCGGGGCTCCTCATATGACCTGACTTATATGCAAGGCAGCCAGCCGGGGACCCTAGTAAGCTGACGGGTAAGAGGCTGTCTTGTACTGTCCCTGGACCCTGAATGCATGCTGGACAAGATAATGTGACGTCTTAGGTCCAGTTTACCTATTAGTCACTGCTTTAGGTCCAGTAGGTATCAGCACAGACGAATTGTTGCTATTGAGTGCGACATATCCGGGCTATTAGTAGCTCATTGGCCGACGCATCACCTACTGTGTGTTGGATGGAGCCATCTTGAGGAGTATGTCGAGCCTTTCACCTATTCGGTGCTTATCAAGGTCGGCTGACATTCATCATAGCTGATGGTTCACTCATCTATATTGAAAGCATGACATTGTGATCCTTCGACGAGGCGGACGACATACCATGAGGTAGTAAGACCAAGCCGTCGGACGCCTAGCCACCGGGACTAGACCATAAGTATAGCACAGTACTATATGTAGATATTTCTTTGGTATACTCTAATAACTATGTTATGATTCTGATGTAAAAGACAATGTAACACGATTCCATAAATATGTTCATGGAAGACCGACCAGTCGGTTAACTGGTACCAGTCTACCTCTCCTACATAGAAATTTACTCCGCTTTAAATCGATAAGAATCGCCTTTATAGCTCAGTGGTAGAGCGCTTGACTTGTATCCTTTACGGTTATCAAGAGGTCCGTGGTTCAATCCCGCGTGGAGGCATTTCTTTTTTTTCCCGCCCGGCCTTGGTTTGCTTCCTATGGCTAAATATCTTCTTTCTACCCTGCTACCCTACCCTCCTTCACACATTCTTACAAAATCAACATCTAGATACCCTGATAATCGCAACCACCTGGGAAATATTCTCAGCCACAAATTCTTCAGCAACCCTTGCGTCTGCACTTCAATAATTTATTTCCCCACATCACCGCGACCGGATCACACGGAAAATGGATCCGGTCGGTCCGTTCCGTTAAATCGGAGATCGGGTCCAATGGAACTTTGTGTAAGGGACAGCAACCAGGTACTGCATTTGTTTTATTCATCTTGTTTATGGTTGCGCTATGCTATGCAGCAGGGTACAGACTACGCGTTCTACTTAGCTCCTGATAGACGCGATCGTATTTGTTTATTCATGTATACTGACAGTCTTGGCAGTCCTGATCGCGTTGAACCGATCCTACTCGTCGCGTTATGTATCTTATCATTCAAGCAAAGAAAACTATTCCTCACACACCTCGCCACATTCCATCATGAATACCTCCACATACCGTTCCGTTTCTACATGTCCTCAAATCCCTAACTCCTTCGCATGACTCGCCTCCCACGGAAACTCCCTCTCCACCGCCCTCACCAACTCCTCATGGCCCTTACTCCTCGGCTTCAGATCCACCTCGAACGGAACAGGATGGCTAATAGTCCCTGAAGAAAACTCGACTCGGATAGGAACTTCCTTACCATCCTGTACCTTCTTTCGAATATCCAATACCGCCAGTGCCCGTGCCACAGTGAGAAAAATGCTCTTCTCAGCGAGCAAGCGACCGGGACAGATGCGGCGGCCGAACCCGAAGGCGTATAGTCGGGGGTCTGGTTGGGGGGTTGCGCCGAGGAAACGATCGGGGTTGAATGCTTCGGGGTTGTGGTAGTTGGCTGGGTCGTGAGTAAAGGCCCTGTTTTAGGTTAGGTATTAATTGAGAGAATGGAAGGGAGGAGGCGTACCAGACGTTGGGAACGATGATGGCGCCCTTGGGAATAAGATAACCATTGAAGATGTCTTCCTCACTAGAGGCGTGGGTTACGCTAAGAGGGGTGACGGGGTGCCATCTGAACACTTCTTGGAATACGGCGTTGACGTAGGGGAGGTTGTTCTGGTCGGAGAGCTCGGGTAGTCGGGAGGTACCTACGACCCGATCGATTTCTTCTTGCGCCTTCTTCTGGACGGTCGGGTTAAGGGCCATGGCCATAAAGAAGCATGATAAAGCAGAGACGGTCTATGGCGTGGTTAGCGGAAGGAAATATGGTGATTTTTGGGAGGATCGAGACGCACCGTATCAGCACCTCCTCCGTATAGAGCTCCAGCAGAATACTTGACTACGATTTCCTCTTCCGAGCCTGGAAGGACAGTGTCTTTCTCAAGCAGACTGGAGACATACGATGCCTGATGCGTACCCTTTGCCATTTGGTTCTTTACGAAGTCGTATGTCTTGTCGTGCATGATGGCCAGTCTGTCCTTGTATTCCTTGGCTGTCTCGTTTTCCTTTCCTCCAGGGAACCAGGTGGGAAGGTATTTCACTGCGCTGTCAGCATCTAAATCTCACTGAGGGAGGATGGGAGACTAACGGAAAGGAACAAAGTTAACCAGCCAAGCTCCTGGAAGAACGACTTGAGAGAAGTCGTCCATCGCCTTGTCGACCAGGTCAACTAGCGGATCTCTCGCATGTGGCTCGATGGTATATCCGTATCCGATCCGCAGGATGATCGCCCCGGACTCCCTATGGTATCATTAGACACATAGCAACTTTTGCAGGCTGAAAGCTTACTTGCGAAGATGATCAACCAAGTTATTTGGCGACTTTATCACGCGCAGAAGGAACCGGGTTACTTCTTTATCGACGATGCCATCGAATTTACCTGCTGCGTTGGCAGAACCGAGTTCGCGGTACGTGGCTTTCCGGTAGGCGCGAAACCGGTTGTTGTAGGGGAGAAGACCTAGTGTTTTGTCCCATCCGGATCTTGGTGGAAAGTTTAGTCTCTTTTGTTGCTACTGAAGGGTAGATTAATTGGTGGAACATACAACTCTGCGATGGGAAGATGGGGTCGAGAAGAGTGTTTTGCAGAGCGCTTTTCCAACATCTCCAAGGCCATATCGGGATCATTTAGGACAACAAGAGTCTGTCCGAAGACAGTGATGGAGCTGATTGGGCCTGGAGTATAACGTCAGTATTATCACTGATGCCACTTATAGGGGAAATGATCGATGAGAATATACCATATTTCTCCTTATGATCCAACCAATGCTGCCAGTCCTTTGAACCGGGCGGCGGAAGGTCCTTAATATTCCCGATAATGGGCTTTGGAGGAGGCCCTGGGGGTAGTGGTGCAGATGCCTTCTTAGGTCCAAGAAAGACATAGAGAAAGTAGATGGACGCGAATCCGACCAGAAGGCTAGTTATGGACAACATGGTTGCAGTCCAGAGCTGTGAAAGCCAGTGAGGAAGAATAGAAGCGGACTACGATGTGGGAGAAGCACTGAGAACATGTGTCTGCAGCGATGGCTGAAGCTGGAGGCAAAGCAGGGCAACCGGGCGGGGAAATCGGGGACACCAGCAGCCAGTAGTTCCTGCTGCTGCATATTCCAACACAATGCTGCAGAAAGGGACTGGCTGGAAGGGGTGCAGATGCGCCACCATCGTGATAGCGCACTGAGCTACTGCAGCTGAAGTGGAACAACAGCCTCGGTATTATTATCCCTGGACATGCCATTGGCGGTAGGGAGGCCGGTATTCAGCCCTCCCTTTTGGGTGGCGTTAGATTGCTCAGCTTGAATGGAATTGTCGGGATTTGAATTAAATACAGACAACAAGCCAGGTGGCATTGATCATATCTTTATATCTAAAGGGATGCTCCGAATGATAAGATTTTAGATTTCCAACGTTGGAAGTCAGATGGGGGAGGTGTAGGGTCAAAGCGCCGGTTGATCGTTGCCATCTCCGTTACTTGGATGGAGGGGTGAAAAGGCAACAAATATGGTGACAAAGTTGATCTGACCAAATGATCTTGTCTAACATGAAAACTCGGTCGTTCTAGCATGACCCATAAGCAGAGGTATCTTGATCCTTTACCCGAACACAGTCGCATTCCAACTTCTGGCCCTTACGAGCCACTGTGACAAACAACCGCTATCCCTTGTTGCTCCTTGCCACCAGGTATGCCTTCTTGGTATATGATAGCCTATCGATTGTACCCGCTATCTACGCTAACAATATAGAGCCCAATCGTTCCTTTTAAGGGCCTCTAATCCAAAAATTAGGTGTTCCTGTCCTCTTCAGGCCCTTCAGGCCCTGTTGTCTCGGGGCCGAGCCGCTGCATTCAAGTGGAGACGGCTCAGCTCACTTTACCTCATTCATATTACAGTTGTAAAGAGCACAAGCGAGAATACTAGCACTTCAGTTTCCTGAAGAGTGGATGAGCTGGTATAAGGATATGTTCTGCAGTATATTAATTTTCCGTCGATGTTGTAGCCATTCATAGTGTGACGTCTGACGGTCTGTGTTGGGCCTCGAGGGTTCAATATGTTGCCTAATCAGCGCCGGACCGTTCATCATATGATATAAATATTTTTCCAAAGGGTGTTTTCTTTTTTGTTCTTTTTTTTTTCCTCGCGCCAAGGGAATACTCGTTGTATGGAAAAGAACCAGA